GAGGAAGGGGCCCTTAAGCACCTCTCTGCGGGTGCCTCCGACTCACTTAATCTGCCCGGGTGATAACGCCGGGCCCGGGCCGCGTCCCACGCGGTGGGGCCAGGACAGGGGTTCCTGGTCTCGACCTCTCGCGTCCGTCATCCGCCCTGCCCTCCGTTCGCAGCTCAGCGAGGAGCAGGAGCCGCGCAGCAGGCCCCTTCCCGCTCTCGCCGGAGTTTGATGTACTTTAAACCTGGACCTGCGGCTCGTGTGGGCTCCTGACTCCCGCGCGCCGCCGCTTAACGTCGCAAACACTTCAGTCAATTATCCCCCTCGCGGAGCTTCTATTTAAAGAGATATTGTCAGGTTCTTAAGCCGCGGATCAGACCCGCTGCTTTCTGCTTCATATACAAAGACTCAAAACACGAGTTCTTTGAGGATTGGAAGAAATACAATTAAGCACTGCCTTCGCAATCGTTCCACCCCACGGGAGAACCCACGTGCGCCACGGGGGAGCTGGGAGGCGTGGGGGCGGGGAAGTGCTGAGTCCTTTCCATTTCAGGCCGGGAGAGTGAGTGGAAATAAGGCTGGGCACCAGGGGCGAGGTGTTGAACCTCGGAGGTGGAATTCAAATGCATCCGAGCTGAGGAGCAGGCTGGCCCCGGGCTGGGTGAGGGTTGTGTGGAGCCACAGTGCCCTTGCATCATCAGTGAAGGGGAATGCTGGGTCATCCTGCGGCCCAGGCAGAGGGAGCTGGAGTTACCCAGGAGCTGGTTCTAGGGACAACTGGCCTTCAACACCAGGGGCTCTGCCACTTCCAAAATATGCCTTCATCGTCTTGAGGCAGAAGTTTCTACCCCAGAAAAACAAAACGGCCAGATTCCTTCCTCATCAGCCCTCCTGTCCAGAGAGTCTCTGGGCCCCTCTAGGTCCTTTCCTTCGCCAACACTTAGGGGGGAGGGGAGACTGGGAGTCTGTGGCACTTGTCAGCATCACTAGGCAGAGGGGTGGAGGCCGGGCCTTTGTTCTCTCCAAGGTCGACTCTCTGGCTAGCCCGGCTGCCAGGGTGTTGGGAAACCCAGAGAGGGGAAGGGGAAGGGCAGGAGCCGGCTGGAACCTAGGCAGACTCAAGACAGAGGCTCAGGGCTGGAGCAGGGGGCGTTCACCTTCCTAGCTGGTGGTAGGCTGTAGCTATGGAACCACTCTTGACACCTCGCCTTCCAGAAACAGGAAAGGCAGGCCGCATGGAAGGCGAGAGACCTAGGCAGGGAATACCAACGAGCGCAAAAAAAACAAGATGAGGTCCCTTTCTTCATTCTGTTGGAGGTCTCACTTCGGCAGCAGGGACAGGTTCTGAGATGGGGGGGCTGCCGAGAAAGTGAGGGACCTGGAAGAAAAGGAGAAATACCAGTGGAGCAGACACGGGAAGGGGGGCGGGGGAGCAAGGCTCGGGCCTCGGCGCCGTTTACCGCTGAGCGTGCAGCACCACAGCCTCGGTGCCCGCGTGCCAAGGCTTCGGCCCAGGCACCGAGAGGGGCAGAGCGTTGGCCTCTAACTCCGGGCCACTCTCAGGCCCCGCCGTCTCCCCGACCAGGCTGGGGATGTCTGGAGCTGTGGAGCGTCGGCGCAGACCCAGGCGGCCAGAGCCGGGGCCCTCCGGGTGGGGGCTCAGGCCGACGGGGGCTTGAACGAAGGTTGGGGGCGCTCCCTCCAGCACCTCCTGAGAGCGCCACCGCCCAGTCCCCGAAGACTGGGGCGAGTTCGGTCGGGCCAGCAGGGCGCCCGCCCGTAGGCGGGCCGCCTCCTCTTCGGTCACC